TGTGATGGACCTAATTCTTTCTTTTTGCTAATGTTGCATTTTCCTAGGTTAGGCTCATTTACCTCACTGATAAAGCTGTTTTAAAATAGTTAACCTATGTCCAGGTCCTAGATCATTTTCTCAGGTGCCCATCAATTCCCTCTAAGTGACCATGCTTTTGAAGCATGATTGCATCTGGCTACAACGAATCTAAATGTCAATCTTAGAAACATCCAATGACATTCAGATGAATTCCTTTCAGCACTAGGGATTTGTCTTTCTGTCATGTAGCACATCTTGTCAAAATAAAGCCAGATATGAGTCCTTTCCCATTCAACATTTTTAGTGTCATTGAAAGTGCTGGCACTTTAGAGTCAAACCAATTTGTATTAATCTCAGTTGCCCCATCAAGGTGTGTGACACTGAGCACGTTTCTTAAAACTCATAGACTCATTTCCTCATCTATATGAATGGTCTTCAAAAAGTCCATAGGAAAAATAGAATGAAAGGATCATGGAATTCTCCACAAACTTTTTGACGCCTTCTTGTATATGGAGAATAAAAATCTCTACAGTGTTATAATACAGAAATTAAATAATCTAGGAATCTCCAGATGTAGGGCCTGGTTAAAGCAATAACTCATTTAATAGTGTTGTTGTTGTTAAGTACCATTAAGTTGGTTCTGACTCATAAGGACCCTGTATAGGGTTTCTGAGGAGTGGCTGGTAAGTTTGATTCAAACCTACCTTGCGGTCCAGTATGTTTTCCTGCAGCACCACATCAGTAGCTATTAATAGTAAAAATGAGTAGGGAACTGAGGAGGTGGGTGGAACTGAAAGCTCCTAGGGGGAATAAGAATTGCAGAGGATTTTGTCCCACCATCATTCTCTGATTTATACCAGGTGAAATCTAAACCAAAAAGTAACTCATGGCAAATAAATCTTATTTCCCACTTTTCCTAGTATGTTCTTTTCTCTCCTTTCCTTTTTCCTCAATATTCTCCTTTTGCCTTCTTTTTTCTCTGTGCTGTAATCTAGTCCTTATCATCATCCTTATTTCACTCAGACTTGAGTTCAGCTGCATATTACTATTACAAAAAAAATCCAAAATAACCAAGGCTTAAACAATATAGAAATTTATTTCTCTCATATACTAGAAGTTCGCAGGCATACAGGCATTCATTCAGTCTAGAGATAATATGATGACTTTCAGTTATCACAAACCCAAGTACCTTCTTGTTCTTTTTCTACCTTTGGCACATTAATGTATGGCTCCAACCATCATTCAAGTTCTGGTCATCACAATACTATAGGTACCAGGCTAGAGGGAAGATAAGAAAAAAAGAAAAAAAAAAGAGCATATAAATACTATCATCCCCCTGCCACTTTTAAGTAGAGTCTCTGGAAGTCCCACACTGCATTTTTGTTTAATGGTTTTTACATTGAACAGTACTTTGTCATATCTGCAAAAATGGTCAGAGAAATGATCATTCGCCCTGCACAGCAATATGCCCGGCTAAAAATTATAGCGCTGTTATTAAGAAAGCGAAAGGGGTGGTGGCAGTGGATTGGTTTTGTCACAACTCCTATTGCCTTTTCCTACTGGCTCCCACTTTACCTTTGTAAACACATAGCAAATATATCCTTCTCACCCAAGAAAGCCACACAAGAAATAATTAAGATGGTGACTTATATAACAAAATGCAAATATATGAGCTCATATTTTTTTAAAAAACTAATGTCAAATAATAAGAGGTTTACATGGGAGCTGTTATTGGAAGGAGAAAGTGAATCTCATTAAAGAAGTTGTTTTCATGACTCAGATAACAGTGAGGACTTAAAGATGCTCAAAACACTGGGAGGCAGTTAGGAACTAAAAGCAGTTTTTAAAAACTGACAAGTGTAGAAGAATAGAGAAAATTAAATAGGGACTGTGAAACTTGAGGGTAGATTTCTGGGCAAGCTGACAGTGAAGGGCAACTCAGACATGGAAACAGAGTCAGAATCTAAGTATGAAAAATCCTGAGAATGTTCGTTGGTGATATCCTGTGGTCATACATGAATAAGAGTGATGGAGGCAGGGGAAGAGCAATTCCTGGGTAATGATGCAGAAGCCCACCAAGATAGCAGTTAGTATATAGAGCAAATAAATGACCTTGCTTTTCTGATGGCCAAAGAAGAATGAAAAAGATTTTAAAATGTGGAAATGTAGGAGAAAACTATGAAAATGTCACTTTTGAACATGGTTCTCAACCCATGATGTGCATTTAAAAGGTAGATATGAAGCCCATCCACTAGAGAGTGTAATTCAGATGATCTAGGAGTCCTGGTGTGGTGCTGCAGGATAATGCACTGGACCAAAATGTCGGTAGTTCTAATCCACCAGCAGCTCCTTGTAAACCCTATACAGGGTTGCTATGAGTGGGAACTGACTCAACAGCACTTAACAGCAACAACAAAGGTGTGGCCCCAGTAGCAGTAATTTCTCTAAACTTCTATAAACACTTATCTAGAAGAAAAACAGGAAAAGAAGTGACTTTAGAGCATTTTATAAGGCTTTACTCCCTTCCCAAATGAAGTGAATAACTTGAGACTGCATTTCTGTATTTCAGAACTATATTTACATCATTTCATTTTGATGTAATAAATCTTTGGTTAAGCTCTTGCACTGAGTATGCTGGCTTCACTGGGCAGGGGAAGGGAAGAAGTGTCCACACTGGGAAGATTATTGAAGTGAGGCAGGCAGGCCTGTGGAAATAGGGACTGACCCCTGTGTCCCCCAGGCTCATATCTCATTCCTGGAGCAGAGTTCACATTCCAGGAACTAAGAAACATACCACCTCAGCCTCATGTGATTGCCCAGCCCAATCTCCTGGAGGGAACAAAGCCCCGAGCTAATGTTTACCTGCTTCTGCGTCTATAACTGCTCACTTGACTGCTCACACATTCTTCCCTGCCGTATGTTTGAACCCACCAATCCCAGGTAGCCCCGTCTCGCTGTTGGGCCCCACTAACCATTCCCAAACAGACACATACATGTTTGCACCCCTATTCCTTATAAAATATCCTCAAACAGGGAAGACAGGAATCAGCCTCTGGATAGGAATCCACTGAGCCATGTGCTGGCATAATAAAAGTCCTTCCTTTGTTACAACCCACGTGGTGTTAGTAACTCCTTCAGAGCGACTCCGGTAACAGAAGAAGGTGGCTTCCTATTCTTTACCCATTGTATAACCCACTACCATCCAATTGATTCAGACCTATCAATCCTACATAAGGTTTCAGAGACTATAAATTTTATAGGAGCAGACAGCCTCATCTTTTCATCTTGGTGGGTTTGAGCTACTTATCTTGTGATTAGCTACCCATCCCCTAACACACAGTGCCACCAGATGGTGGCAGTATAAAGTGCACCCAAGAGCAATAATGAGCCAGGGAAGCTAACTTCAGGAGCCTGGGATTGAGAAAGAGCATCCTTTATGAGGAGTGTTTTGTTTCTCCCTGATTCCCCATCAACAGTGTCTAAGTTTTTTAGAATGCTGTAAGAATACCACAAAGTAGATGGATTTAAAGAACATAAATTCATTGCCTCACAATTCTGGAGGCTAGGAGTCTAACTCAGGGCATTGGCCAGGCCATGTTCACTCTTCTCTGTTCTTGTCTCTGCCAGTTTCTGGTAGCCCCAGGGATCTCTTAGCACTTATTGGTTTATAAATATATCTTCACAGGACATATAAACCCCAGCATAACACTTTATGTTTATGTGTGTCTGTTCTACCCTTTTATGAGAACACACTCCAATGAGATTGCTGTTAAGTGCTATTGGATCAATTCCGACCCATAGCAAGCCTATATAGGGTTTCCAAAAACTGGCTGGTGATCTTAAGCCACTGACCTTGCAGTTCAAACTGACTTTGCAGTCCAGTGCATGAACCCACAGTGCCACACCAGGACTCCTATGTAGAGATTTGTTGTTGTTGTTGTTGGGTGCCATCAAATCGATACCAACTCATAGCAACCCTATGCACAACAGAACGAAACACTGCCCGGTCCTGGGCCAACTTCATAATTGTTCCCATGCTAGAACCCATTAATGCTGCCACTTTGCCAATCCATCTCGCTAGGGGTCTTCCTCATTTTCTCTGACCCTCCACCTTATGAAACATTATATTCTTCTCCAGCGACTGGTCCCTCCTGACAATATGTCTGAAGTATGAGAGATGAAGTTTGGCCATCCTGGCCTCCAAGGAGCACTCTGGCTGCACTTCTTCCAACACAGATATGTTGGTTCTTTTGGCAGCCCATGGCACTTTCAATATTCTCCTCCAACACCATAACTCAAAAGCATCAATTCTTCTGCAGACTTCATTATTCGGTGTCCAGCTTTCGCATGCATATGAGGTTATTGAAAATACCACAGCTTGGGTCAAGCACACCTTAGTCCTCAAGCTAACATCTTTACTCTTCAACACTTTAAAAAGGTTTCGTACAGCAGATTTGCCTAATGCAATATGATTTCTTGGCTGCTGCTTCTATGAGTGTTGATGGTTGATCCAAGAAGAAGGAAGTCCTTGACAACTTATCCACTTTATCATTAGTTGATCACATCTTCACAAAGACAGACCCTATCCAAACAAGGTCATATATACTGGTACAGAGGTTAGGACATTTTGGGAAATGAAATTAATTTAAGAACTGAAGATGATTGCTAAAATGGCAATTTAAGAGAATTGGAATTCAATGAGATATTCTTTTGACTGACCACCACCTTATCCTTAAAAAATTATATATTTTATAAAATGTATGAAAACTTTAATATTGCATGCTATGTAAGAAGAAAATACAGAACATGTGGTACAATTTGCTAATATTTTGTTCATTTGAAATTTGCTCACCTAAAATCTCTCTGTAATCTCCAGTTTTCATAATAGTAATTGTAAAGACAAATAATATTTATTGCAATATTTTAGAACTGCAGGAAAGTTTTACTTGAACTAGATTTATTGTCTTTCTTTGTGGCAGGTGGTGAAGTTTACCAAATCCTTTGAATTGATGTCCCCAAAATGCAGTGCTGATGCTGAGAACAGGTAGGTAGGGCTTGTGGGTATCATGTTTGACTTTTAATGCTCTTTGGTCCTTGGTGTCAATAGTGTTGCATAATTCTTTGAAGATAAGCATTATACCTCTATATCACCAAGTCCAACCAATAGTATCACTCGTCTACATTTCAGGGCTCAAATATAAACTATAGTATAAAAATACACTAATATATATCTAGCTATGATCAGTTTTTAAGACCAAATCTTTGTACTTATTATATGATTAAAATGTTGCTTTGTGCTTTTAGTCCCTTATTTCCCTGAATCTTGTAATGTTTTTTAAATAAATCTTAAAATATTCTGATAATTTCTGAACCCTATATCTAAGTTGTTTATGCAAGTTTGTATGGAATGGTGATGGAGAAAATCTATTTTCTATTAGCCAACATGTTTAATTTCTCCTCATACCAAACATTTGACTGAAACTGTTAACAAATAAGTCAATGTTTAAATATTTCCTAACTCTTCAACTATCCTAATTTTCTGCTTTGCTCTGGATCTTTCTTTCTCCTTTCACTTTTTTTTTTACTCTAGTATATGACCCAGTATAACATCCCCCTGTATGAAAAAGAATGAGAGTTTTTAGGAATGTCTAAGGCTACAACAAGGAGCTCTGGTAGCGTAGTGGTTACAAATCGGGCTGCAAACCGCAGGGTCAGCAGTTCAAAACTAGCAGCTGTTCCGTGGAAGAAAGATGAGACTTTCTGCTCCCATAAAGATTTACAGCCTCAGAAACCCTGTACAGGGTCGCTATGAATTGGAGCCGACTCCACGACACACAGACACACACCAAGGCTACAACAGGGTCAAAGTATAGGTGAATGACAACCAGTGAATTTCTGTTAACTTTGCACTGCCTTGACTAGGAAAAGCTGGCTGTTATAAAGATAGATTATCTTTACTTTGGTCCCCTCTCAAGAAAGGACTGAAAAATAGTGAAACTGACCAAAATGCAGAACTCTGATGAAAGATAGGGAAAGGACGAGGGGCATCTGATGATGATGGCAGTGATGACAATATTGGTACTACCGCTAGAGATACGAGCAGTTTCCATTCATTGAGAGCTAAGTGTGCCAGGGGCTGTGCTGAATGCTTTACTTGCGTTTCATTTCTGTATGCCAGGGGAGAAAATCAAGGCTCAGTAAGCATAAGGAACTTGTCCAAGGCCCTGCAGCCACTAAGTGGCAGCCACATCCAAGGACAAGATTACGTAGATTAGACTCACCAAACCTCTGAACTTTGATTCCATCACAATTCACTACTTAAACTATGGTTTGTTGTTGTTGGGTGCCATTGAGACTGTTCTGACCTACAGTAACCCTATGAACAACAGATTGAAATACTGCAGGCACCATGCTCACAATTGTTGATGTTTTAGCCCATGGTTGTTCTAATACAGTGAATATCTATTGGGTTGATATTTCCCAAATCTGACTGACCTTCAAAATCTTAGCATCCACATTAAGTGTTTTGTTTTTGTTTTTAAAATGTTTTATTGTGAATTATGTGATAGTTTACATGGGAGAACATTAGTTTTACATTCATCCTATCATATACTGTTTCATTGCCATGATGGTACAATCCCCTCCATGCATTATCAACCAACCAAAGGGTATACACTACAAGCCTGCCCCCTGGTCATCAACACACAGCCCCTCTCCCTTTCTGTGTCTAAATTCCCCAACTGCTCCATCTCTCCACGTCATCATCTCTGCCTCCATCTCAGGCATTACTGCTTCTCTGGGTAGGGTCCCGCTCTCTGCTCTTCTCCCTTGATGGTCCTAGGGACCTCCGCTCCTAGACTGAAAAGTTAATCACTCCCCTCCTTGCTACAAAATGTCTACCTTTACATTTCTAACCCTCACAAGCAGTCCTGATAACAATTATTCACTATTGTATCACAAAAGACCCGCCTGCATTTCATTTCATCAGCCCTGCCTAGACAGATTGGATACTACTTAGACATTGAGAGATTTTTGTACTTTATGTTGAAAGTGAAGTCTAAAAGATCTTCGCATTCAAAAGGCCCCAGATTTCCCAGGATGTCATTACAAGGGTATTTTTATTGCTAATAAGTATAGGAAACAGAAATCAGTAAATTAAAATGGACACTTTATTTACTTAATTTTTATCATGTATATGGCATTTATAAAAGTCCTTTTCTGCATATTGTATAATTTTGTTTATACCATACTCTTGAAAGGCAAAATGATAGGAACAGAAAATGTATCAGTAATTGTAGGGAAGAACAGTTGACTACAAAGAGGAACGGGGGATTTTGGAGGGTGTTGAAACTGTTCTAGATCCTGCCTCTGGTGGTGACTATACAGCTGCATGCATGGGTCAGAACTTACAGAAATGTTCACAGGAAAAGGGTAAATGTTCCTGTATATAAGTTATACTCTAAAATAGAAATAAAAAGATGCCTTTTAGAAATAATTTTCAGTTTCATTAAAGAGAATTTATGTGTCTGTCTGTATCTAATGTCAGTTAATCTGCACCTAACAAAGATACTTGTTGTTAAATGACGTGAGTTGATTCTGACCCATAGCAACCCTATATAGGGTTTCCAAGGAGCAGCTTAGGCATAGAGAATTATTAGCAATGCACTCAGCAGTTCTCCTAAGTATTGTTGTTGTTGTTAAGTGCCATCGAATAGGTTCTGACCCATAAAACCCTGTATAAGATTTCCAAGGAGTGACTGGTGAGCTTGAACTGCAAATCTTGTGGTTCAAACCACTTTGCAATCTAGCACATTTACCCAAGCCACCACACCAGAACGCCTTTCTTAAGTTTGATGCTGTAAAATAATTACACACACACACACCACAAGAGGGTACTTTCAAAAGGTTCCTGGAGTAATATAATTATCTTTTAATTTAATTTTTTTAATGAACTTTTGGAGCTCACTCACATAATCAACTAAATATATGTGTTTGTGTGTGTGTGTGTGTGTAGAGAGAGTTCTGGTGTGTTGCTGCAGGATAAGCACTGGACTGTTAACTGCAAAGTTAGCAATTCAAACCCATCAGTTGCTCCTCTGAAACGCTCCATAGGGGCACTATGAGTTGGAACCAGCTTGATGGCATTTAAGAAAAACAGAATATGTGTATATATATATATATATATTCAGCTGATTAATTGGCCATGACTTCATATAAGCTATTTCTCATATACAAGGAGAAAAAGGTTTATGAGTTTATTAAAACCTCAACCTTTGGAATCCTAATTTTCAGTGTTGTTCTTTTTAAAATACAGCTAGATGTGTTCCCAGTGGTCAGGGCAGAGTTAAATACTTCTGGCCTTTTGATGATTTTTAATGGTAAAAAGAATTTCCATGTCAGAATGAAATGATCCATGGCCCAGACTGCCCTTGGCAAACTTTCTTACAATAAAAAAAGAAAAGAAGAAAGGAAGGTCAGGTTTTCTTTAAAGAGACATGGGAAAAGTCCTATAGAACTTTGACATTAGGAGATAGTCCTCTCCACCATTCTGTTTGTGGCCTTTAAAGTAGTGTACAAGGTGCATTTATCTCAGGAGACCTTTCCTGGATTATTCATTCATTTTCTTCTTGTAGATGTGGGATCCTTCCTTATTGGATTCCTTATTGGAAGTTAAAGAAATAAAGACAAGTGACTTTAGCATTTACTTGGTCAGTAGTCACAGAAGAGACATTGAAACAGGCTACAAGTCTGCAAATCACAGCCAACTCTCCACCTGTCATAAATCCTTCTTTTAACCTTTCATCACTTATCTTTGCTACTGATAATGTCCATTTAGATCCTTTAGTCCTCTGGATATCATTGAAAAGAGGTATGTAATAGGATAGCTTTTTAAAGAGAATTTCTATGGCTACATGAAACAAGGTTTGAGAGTATCATTTCAATTTTAATAAACTCTGGTTTGGGGATTGCCATTTTTTTAGGTAGCTTTTAAAGATTTCAAGAAATAAAAATATTACTGACTCATCATTTCTGTTTATAGCCTTACATGGCTAACTCCTTTGTCACAGCTAGTCTCCTCTTGCTCTCCATGAAGTTGTTGTTGTTGTTGACTGCCTTCAAGTTGGTTTCAACTCAGCTACCCTGTATAGGGTTTCTAAGGAGTGACTAGTGAGTTTGAACCATTGACCTTGAGGTTCAACCTGACCTTGAGGTTGAGTGCTTGTCTTATGGTGTCACACCAGGACTCCTCCTCTATGCAGTTAAAACTAACCAATTCAAGAGTTGCAAATGCTTTGGTTCACTTCTCGCCATGGTGTGTTTAACTCCTCTGGGATATCTTTGCTAACGCCTCCAGTAATAAGATTCTCACAATATCATGATGGACTTCTTCCATTGATGTTGTTATGTGCTGTCATTCCGATTCTGACTTAGCAACCCCATATGACAGACTGGACAGCCCCGTAGGGCTTCCTAGACTGTAATCATTGGACTGGAGGAAGACTCTGTAACAACCTTCCATATGAAGATGACACAATGTTGATTGCTGAAAGCCAAGAGGACTTTGAATCACTTAAGTCAAATAAGATCTGAAGATCAAATACTGTAAGCAGTCTTCAGTGTGTATTGTACTTCAATGTAAAGAAAACAACCACCA